CGGCCCCCCCCCACTTGCAGCCCCAGACAGGCTCCTGGGAGCTGCCAGCCTGGTCCCGGGAAGAGGGGGAGGGCTGGGGGGCAGCGGGTGGCTGGTTCGTGCCATGCCAGGTGCAGGGTCTGCTGCCTGGGTGCTGGCAGGCTTGCACCTGGCACGGGCACCGTAGCCAGACCGTGCCCCTTTAAGGGCTCTGGGGCCGGGAGTGGGGCAGAAGAATTTCCCTGGTTATGCCCAGAGTGGCCACCAGGGCAAGCTGGGAAGGGTTACCCTCCCACTAGTTCGAATTAAGTGGCTACACAGCCCTTAATTCGAACTACTTAATTCGAACTAGGCGTTAGTCCTCGTAGAATGAGGTTTACCTAGTTCGAATTAAGCGCTCTGCTAGTTCGAATTAACTTTGTAGTGTAGACATACCCTGAGTGTTGCCATGATTCACAGGCAGGGTTATGGCAGGTTGTGAGCAGAGCTACCTAGTTGCCCCACATTGAAAATGCCAAAAACTGGGCAGGCGGCAAAAAGGAGAGATTCTCCCCAAGAGAACAGATTCTCCCGAAACGTGTAGTTAATACAGATGTTGGATTCACCAGCCAGTCACAAACTGCTCCTGATTCCTCCGGGCTGGTTATCAAGAAGCTGAAAAAAGAAAACACACAGCCCCCTTGATTGTCTCCACCCTGATTCTCACATAACCCTTGAGATCAAGACAGCTGGAGACAACAGAAGCCACCGCAGAAGGCATTCAATCACTGGGAAAGCCTGAACTAAGTTAAGCTGTGTGGTTTCACAGGCTCCTCTAACAGCACATGTAGAGCTTAGGAGATTGCTTGGCCAACTCTGTACAAGGCAGTAAGGTAGCAGACAGCCAGAGAGGTTGTTGTGAGCATGGCCTGGAGGAGCAGAGTTCTCTGGGGCACAGGACCAGCTGGAGAGGCAGGTTTGGGATTTCTGGGCAAGGAAAGGGGCTCCTGCTGTTTGTTTGTTCCTCCTGGTGCAGGGGCACCGGACTGTCCATTTATTCAGGAAATAGATCAGACTGCACCAAGGAAATGCAATTGCAAACAACCCAACAAACCGCAAATAGCAGAGATGGAACAAACTCTGGGATAAACCTGGTCTCCTGGGACTGCTGATCTCCTGCCTGCAGCTGTGGTTCCTAACAGGCACTAACAGACCATCCTGTGGGCTGAGCTGCCCTTTCATTGCTCAATTAACAAACCCACCTGCTCTCCACCCCTTGGGATCTGATTCTTAGAAACACTTAGGCTACGTCTAGATTGCATCCCTTTTTCGTAAAAGGGATGCAAATTAGACGTATCGCAATTGCGAATGAGGCGGGGGTTTAAATCTCCCCCACTTCATAAGCATAAAAAGGGCTGCCGCTTTTTTTCGGCACGGAGCTTTGCCGGAAAAAAGCGCCAGTCTAGACACGGATCTTTCAGAAAATAAAGCCTTTTCCATAAGATCTCTTATCCCTCTTAAAATAAGGGATAAGGGATCTTTCTCCCTGAGAAACATTGGGGCAAATCCCACCTAGAGGCCAGGATGCGATTACTATTGGTAGCACTCGGAGAGCCTGGGATAGACTGGCCCACCTGCAAAGAGCTGCGAGGTGGATGGATGTTGTGTAAAACATTAGGTAACAATATAGACTCAGTGTGAGAAAGGGAAACAGAGACAAGAGGAGAAATGTATTTTTTCAACGTAGGGATGTTTGATAGTGGGTAATAGAATAGTCGACTAACCACATGAATTCTTAGTGATTAGTGGACTATTCTATAGTCCTTGGGGGTGGGACTGGCAGCCAGTGCACTCCAGCCCCCGTCCCGGGGAGTCCCCTGCCACCTCTCTCTGCTACCTCCGATACAGAGACAGCAGAACAGGGCGGAAGTAGCCCCTGTCCCTAGAGGGTCCGAGCTACCTGTGGACAGAGACTACTGGGGGGTTAGAGAGTGAGGGAGGCTGCCACGGCAGAGGGCCCGCTAGGGGTCCCAGCGGACAGGGGCTGCTTCATGGCCCCCATTATATCCTCTCTGATAGAAGCAGCAGCATGGAGAGGCACGCTGCACCATGGAGACAGTACAGGGGGGAACTGACTCTTAAGCTGGCTCCTCCCAACACCAGCTCCTGCTTGCCCCGCTTGCTGCCTCTGATACATAGGCAGCAAAGGGATGGAGAGAATGCAATTAGTCAACTAAATTCATGTGTTGGTTAATCAACTTATAGACTACTCGCTTACGCTAGTTGAAGGTTGCCTAGAACAGTGGCAAAGCTTGGTCTCCACCTTGGGCTCTAACCACTAGACCATATTTCCCCTGGAGTAAGGGTTGGGTGAGAAGCCCTCCCCTGATTTCTTCCATGTTCTTTCCATTGGCAGGCCGGCTCCCCTGACTCTGCTGAGAGTGGCAAATGGAGTCACTTAACTCCTCACTTTCCCCCTTCAATGCGACAGCACCTGAGATGCCAGAAACATGGCAGGGAGCCTTCCTGATCATCATACTGCTCATCGGGCTGCCGGCCAACGGCTTCATTATCTGGCTGACAGGGTGGCGGCTGCGGTGCCGGGGCCTGTCCGTCTTCATCCTGAGCCTGGCCAGCTCCGACTTCCTCTTCCTCTGCGTCATGGTCATGCAGATCATGGAGACCCTGCAGGGTGACAACTGGGTGCTGGGTGCCTTCATGTGCCGCCTGCGCCACTTCCTCTTGGATTTAAGCTACCACTGCAGCCTCTTCCTGCTGGCTGCCCTCAGCGTGGACCGCTGCCTGCTGGTGCTGCTGCCCCTGTGGTACCACTGCCATCGCCCCCTGCGGCTCTCCACCTACATCTGCCTGGGCACCTGGGTGGCGGCTTCCTTGCTCAGCATCAAAGGCTTCGTCTTCCCCAAACTCGTCCTGTTTAAAGTACGAGTGGCCCCTGCGCTTGCTGGAGGTGCTGCTGGAGGGATTCTTCCCCTTTGTTGTCATGGTGACCACTCACGCTGTCACCTTGGCCCACACCTTGCGGCGCCACACCCGGGCCCCCAGCCAGTTCTACCGCATTGTGGCTGCCACCCTGACCGTCTACGTGCTGCTCAACCTCCCGTTCCAGATCACCCAGCTGCTCTTCCTGGTCGCCTTGGAGAACCAGGAGCTCTACAGTCGCCTCATTCCCTTCCTGGTCTACACCGGCTACCTGATCAACCTCAACACTAGCATCAACCCCTACATCTACCTCATCTTCGGCTCCAACCTCTGCACAAGCTGCAGCCACCCCAAGACCTCCTCCCTTGCCTCAGCCCTCACAGAGGAGCTCGGGAAGAGCCCCAGACACACGCCTGAGGCGTCTTTCTCTGCCTAGCCCTGCCCACTCTACTCTCCCTGCATGGCCCAGCCCTTGCTCTGGCACAGCTCCAGTCACCAACCCAGGGGTTGCTGGCTCCCCTGACAGGCCCTGGCTGGAAGGACGGGGAATGTGCACAATACGAGTTCACTAGTCCAAGGCCTTGTGTAAATGGGTGCAAGGTGGGAGCTACCGGGGAAGTCAGATCAGTGTCAGGACCCTGTTTGCCCAGCCTAGTCAAACTCCTGACACATTCTCAGTAGGTGCAAACAGGGCCCAGCTCCCTGCAGATCGGGGCCCGTGAAGCTCCCAGACTTCAGCCAAGACCTGCTGCCCCGTTGGGCCTTCCTGGGCTTTGGAATCCTGACGTTAGTGGTGGCTCCACGGTCATGGTGCTTCAATGCAGTGGCCTTCTGCTCACTTCTGCCAGAGACCCACCATTGAAAGTGCCTCTACCCATCTAGCTCTGCCTCCTTGGGTGTCTGCAGCCTGACCATTCTGACCTCCAGAAAGCAGGCCCGGACTCCTCTTAGTGCACGAGGTTGGGACACAGAAGCTGCATCCCAGGAACACCCAAGGGGTAAGAATTGAGGCCCTGGGGCTGTCCTGTCGATCCCCTTCTCCCCACACACACCAGGGGACAGGTACAGCTCACTCTATCATTCCATGGGTGCAGGACACCCCAAAGAGAACCAAGCCCCCTGGCTTTAATTCTGATCCCTTGGGCATGTGGTTCTTTAATTCTGACCTCTTCCACCCCTCCCCGTCAGTTGCTCCCAGCAAGATGTCCAGTGGCTGCCCACCAGCACCTCCTGCGAGGGACTCAGACCCACCTGTGCAGGAGTGGAGTAAGAGCGGTGCCCTAGAGATGCACTGAGCTCCTGTCAGCCCAGCTCCTACCCCCAGCCAGGGGCACGTCCTGGGAGCTACCTGGCAAAAGGGGACCCTTCGGATCCAGAACCTAGTCAGCCTGGATCTGCTTGGTACCTCCATCAGGATAAGACAAGAGCTGTGAATTTATTCATTCTGGGGGTACAGGGCCAGGGCCCCCTTGTCCCACACAGGCACCTGGCAGGAGAAATTAAACCCAACATGAGCCTCCAGCTACAAGCACAGGCCTCTGCAGCTGAGCTAATGCCTCTTCCCCTCTGTTAGCAACAGGCCCAAGCAAGCTTGTAGCTATGGCCCAGGTCACCCAGCAGGGGCAGAGTGCCATGCAGAACCCGCCTGGGTCATCACATTTCCCCCTCCTGCTTGGGCCCCATTGCCCCCCCTCCTCCTACAGCCCTCCCCCCCCTCTCCTGCAGTCACAGCTGCGGGTGCTTCGTGTGCCCACTTCAGGGCTCCTTTTCGCCAGCGATGCCAGGCTGGGGTGCGGATCCCGTCTGTGTGGGCTACAAAGAGAGTGTGAGCGACCATCATATGCAGGGCGGGGGGTCGCCCAGTGCCAGGGGATTTGGCGGGGCTGTGGCTCGGGGTGACCTGCACACATGCTGCTTTGCCACCTGCTGCACCAGCGAGCCCTGCTCTAAGGCCGCGGCGCCGGCCAAGGGAGATACATCCTGGCCCCAGGCCATGTCTGGCCACCCACAATGGGCCTGTCATCCCAGCCCCTGGCGGCCTCGCGCAGTGAGC